GTCACACTTGCAAATGTGTGAATAAGGTACCCGTTGTTGCAAACCATTATCAAATTTCTAGTGCCTGGAACCATTTGAAGCAAGATATGGGACGAAGAGAACCCCCCCCGCCTTCGTGTTGGTTGTTTGCTTGGAATCTCAGGGATTCTTTACAGACTTCTAGGGNTTGTCTGGTATACCTGGAACAGTTTGTCTTTTGTCAAAGTTTACTCAAAACCAAGGAAGGAAGGACAGCTATTCACATTGTGGCATTCTTATGTACAGAGTATAGCCACATTAATGAGCACATCCCGACTAAGTACAGATAGAATTTACCATGCCACAGTTCTAGAAGACTGGACATCATGCCCGTGCACATGTATACCCACACAGTAAAGACATTTCTGTTTATAAAGGTCAGTGTAATGTACAACTTGTAAACATCCTGGAAAAAAAACAAACCAAGTTGGGCTGGGTGGGTGGGGATTACTTGCTTGTTCACTATTGATACACTACAGTGACCACACAGGCATCATGCCTAACATCAAGCAAGACATCAACCGATTTATTCCCCATGTTCCAAAGAACACATTTTTTGCACTGCCTACAGATATGCTCTTCGTTTCTTGCTCCTCCAAGTCAAGCATTCTGATCCACTGCCATGTTGGTAGTTTTGACCGTCAAGTAGGCCTGATTTCTCCCCAATCCACACAGCTCAAAGGCTGCATCTGAGATGCCACAGTCTGATCTGCGTGTAACTAAGTTGACTAACTAAATAACCTCTGTGGCTGAAATAAGACTCTACATCACTGACGAGCACCACCGCCTCCTAAGCCGCAGTGAGTAATACCGACAGCCTTGGCCCAATGTCGCACATTGATCCTCTGCGGTTACAAAATAACTACTTAATTTGTTCCCCTCGACCAGTCTGGGCCATTGATTTACTGTCACGCAGGGGGCTGTGAGACTGCCAGGGGTTTAATGAGCCGTGTAGTCAATTGCCAATCATATTCGATTCATGCCAACGATGGATGATACACATTTACCTTGCTGGATTAGGGATTAATATTCCCTTGTCGCTCGCGCAAAATCACAGCGTGAGAAAGTGCAGAGGGCGGTCAGCTGAAGTAGAAAGATAACGTCCCTCTCCACAGCATAACTACGTGTATAGCGACCACAGCAAAACTCCATTTTCAGGTTGTAAAACTGCCCCAAAACTTGTTCCTTTATTGTTTATTAGATGGCCTGGTATTGGGTGAAGTGCCTACACCTCTGCTGATGTACATTGTACCCCCATTGTATGCATAACTCTGACACAAATGCTGACCAAACTGTGCTGAGGCCAGAAGGATCACGTAAAAAATTAGTTTGGACAACATGTCAATGTATTCTCTAAACACATGGGATGTCTGTACCTCATTTCTGAATTTTTAGATGGATAACGCAATGCATTCCATAACAAAGTTCACTTAAGACACACTGTCCAACAGTATTGGGCTTGAAACCAAGGCACCAGCACTGACTGATATCTCTTTCAGTGAATTTTTTGAGTGAAGTTAACGCACAGACGTACACTGTACATGTACATGTATACGTTTGAATGAGAGGAGAGCACCACATTTGGTGTCATGACCCCCAAACCGGCAGGATTATATTCATTTCCAGATCAATCAGATCTTCCCAGGAGACAAACACACTCTCCAATAGGGAAACATCATTAGGCACCCAAACCTCTCTTATATTAGTTTGTGGAAGCATAAATATATATTTCATTTCATGCAGGGCATTGCGAGGAATCTACTTGCACACTTGGTTTCCTCCCCTCCTTGGAAAAATGAAACATAAAAAAGAAAAACAAACGAGAAAGAAAAGAAAATGAGAGAGGGCGGAAAAGGGATAAAAGTTATTGATCTAAATAAGCCTTGGAATTGACACCTTCCACCGTTAATGGGTTATCAATTTGCTGCAATGAGTGCTAATTTCCCCTCCCCCACCGGAAAAACCTGGCAATATACCCACAACTAGGCCTATGGCATAATTCCCACAATGGTAGCATTGCGCAAGGTATGAAGTACAGGCCATGGTGTCCATTTTTATAAAGTGTCTGTTTGATCAAATCTGGTTGAAAATGAGCTTGTTGTCCTGCAGACAGTATGCCCATGCACCAATGACGTAATGCTTTGCTCATGTGTGGGCTTTCTTTGGGGACATCAGACTTAAAGCTCCATAGGAAATCATGTATGTAAACAATGCCTAACATCGTCAGTACATAGGACTACTGGAGAACGCATGTACATGTACATGTATGCCTCGGCCTACCAAGTGGGGGCCTGATCGAGCACCTGTTCTTTAAGGGGGAAGGGAAGTTGGAAACAAGCGTATACATGTAATATGAGGAATATCCCCCTACCAGTGGTGGCTATAGAGCTACTGCTCTTAACGCAATGCAGGTTCATTTTCTGTTTGGAGGGGGGGTTTAATTGTTGAATATGTATTTTGGTTACTTACATTACCTTTTCTCTGGAGCAAATTATGCAATAAACTAAGAATTTGGGGGCAAATGCTGGCTTGTGTTTTGGGGAAGGGGGTAATGAAAAGCACACGCTTATAAAAATTAAAAATCACTAAACCAAACTGCACGAAATTCATTCCAATCTAATTGGCACAAAAACCTTGGAAAACAAGATTTGAAGCTTGCATGTATTGCTTAAAAAACAACAACAAATTGTTGTTTAACACTGAATGCCCCATAGACATGAATCTCATGCACGATACTCTCCCTCTTCACTTAACAGTCACTAGGAACAAAACTTCAATTTTATCAATATTGCTTTTTCCCCTCTGCCATGACAAAGGATTCTGTCAAATGTCTGATGGGACCTAAAATCCGAAGCTTTTGCCATTTGCCCTTCCTTTGTTGTTAATTTGATATGCCACAGCAAGCAAACCGTTCCAACTGCAAGACACAAAGAAATACTAGTGGCGTTATTTATGGTAGCAGGTTGTAAATGATTTTTATGCTCACAAAGGTGTGTTACATTGTGAGGTGACGCACTTTATGGAATATATGAGTGTATATTCTCATGACATCTGACTAGTGTGTCAGTCAAATTAATGTATACATCATGTATTTAAAGCTTAAACAGAAGTTTCAGTACACTGTTGAAATTCTAACTACATGTATACGAATTGAAGAACTCATCACCACAATTTGAGTGTAAAAGACAATGTGGCAAATAATGGTTGACAATGCAAAGAAATGAAACAGAGAGATTCAATAAAAAGCCTGCACTAAGGGTTGAAGCTTTGGCAAGACCCAGCAAAGATTCTATGTTTGGCTTCTGATGTGGGGCATTTGTCTCTCCATGTCCTCCTTGGATGTGCAACGTTAGCTCATCTAAACACAACAGGCCTTTCTGCTATTCACAGACCCTTCCTGAATCTGACAAAATCCAACATTATAATTGTGCAACATTGACACACACCGTGCAACATTAGCACATCTAAAACTTACAGGCCTTTCTGCTATTCACAGAACCTTCCTGAATCTGACAAAATCCAACATTATAATTGTGCAACACTGACACACATTGTGCAACATATGCACATCGAAACATTACTAGCCTTTCTGCTATTCACATAACCTTCACGAATCTGACAAAATCCAACACTCTAATTGTGCAACATTGGCACACATTGTGCAACATATGCACACCCAAACATTACAAGCTTTTATGCTGTTCACAGAACCTTCACGAATCCGACAAAATCCAAGGTACCACTTTGGCTCTTTGACAAAAAATGAGGACAAAGATCCCTTCATCTGCTGATTAGAAGCTCCCCCCTCACCCGCACAGAAGAGACAAGCCAGAGGGAAAACTTTCTACTAGGTGCAATGCGAATGTGAAAAGACCACACCCAACATTTCAGGAGACCCTGGCTGTGCTCACTTGCTCAGGGCATCTCATGCCAAACATGAATGAACTTGTATGTACGAAGTGTTTTCCCACTGAAAAGATATCAGGAATTCTTCTCATTTCCATAGCTTTCCAAAATCAACCAAAATTTTCCAAACCCTTTTTTGTTGATTTTTGAAGAGTGTCATCAATATTTACAAAAAGAGAGCCAATAGAAATGCTTACTATTCAATAAATTCCTCACTTTCTCTATCATTTTACAAATTTATCTCTACTTTTCCACAATTCTTATAATGTTCGCAGTTAACTGCAACTAATATAGAAAGGGGTGGGACATTCTAGGCGTGACATCATACTCTATTTTTACAGTGACAGTTATCTGAGCCTTGGACATCAATACCTTAACTAATATAGTCACACATGTTTAGACGTGTTCTGTTTTAAATCCACTGATTGGATAATGATTCCTTAGCAAATTTATGTCCTCAGCAAACATCAGCAGGGAACCAGCAAGGAAGCGATGTACATGGAGTGAATTTTTGGCTGGTAGCCTGCTTCTGCTCAAGCAAGCATTTTCTGTGCTTTACAGATTCTGGTGCTTAGCAGCTCCGTGAAATTGGCCCAATTGAAGAAACTGGTCTAACTGGGAAAATTGGCCCAATCAGATTTTATTTCGGGCACATAGGCTTCGTACACCAACCGGAGAGCCCAAAACTGGACAAAAGAGCTATAGACCTTACAACAAAAGACCGTACTCCGAACAAAAGACCGAGCTGCTGGGAATTGATAACATTTTTTCAGTTGTCAATAGAGGAGGAAATCCGTCATTGTTTTGAAAGATATTACCACTGTTTGTGGCATGCAGTGCGAGCAGATTACCACCGGGGACAAAAGCGCTCCAGCACTCCAGGGATGAGCGATACAATATCACAGTCATTCCTGTGGGTGTAAACGTCCAGTAAATGAAGTTATGATTTTTTTGAAGAATTTTGAAAACGGAAATGCTTGAAAATATCCCGCTTTTACGTCATGCAACTTCACGTCACACCCGCAAGCAATTGGTTCAAATTGCAACAGTCCATTCAAACGTCAAATGTCACTTACCATTGTAAAGACAAGATGATTGCATGTGATGTATATAGACGATCGAATGATTTCACCATTTGCAGTTTTAGTACTCGTATCCACGGTTGCAAGAATACTGATGATAAGGCACAGGAAAAGCAATAGAAATCTGCCAGAGGGGGAAAAAAAAAAAGAAACATGACAAAATTGCTCATGGGTTCAATTTGCAATAAGGCTTGGAAATAAATTCCATTGTTCATGCTTCTTCTTGCACTTTGAAGCACAACATCTAAAATCAAACGACAAAAGCTATTACAGAAGTTGATATCAATATATAAAGTCCAAAGGACTGTTTGTATCGCAAATTTTAACAACAGTAAACAAATGTAACTAATTTTGCCGCAAAACCAAGGAAATCCATTACTTCTGATACCCAGCCAGGGAGCTAGTACATCAACTATCAATCAATTATCTAGTTAAGATAGACAAATTATTTATCATATACCGGTACCCCATATTAAAAAGCATCACAGCTTTGGAAAACACTGAATAACATTCCTCCATGTGCTGTGGCTGCTGCTACCATTTAATGCTAAGCTACAGGATGATGTCAGGTGATTTCCACCCCTTTGCAACAGTTCCGCATTTGCCCTATCAAGTACTTGAGTGGTGACTATTACCTGGGTAAGTAAGCCAGGCAATAGTCTACTATGCACCCAGCACAGATACCAGGATGTATGCACCTAGTTAACAGCAAAAAACGGTGACAGTCAGCAAAAATAAGGACTGTCAAACAACGGTGAATGGACTAGTGAAAATTTGGCTCTCCATCACGAATACGTAACCTGATCGACTTGATGCATGCAAACGTTACTGTCTGTGATTTCCACCGTGGCAGTCCCAATGGGCGTCCTGGCTCCATGCCTTGGTACAAGCTTCACGACCTACATGTATTGCTGACAGAAGTTACATGCATATGTCTGTGCATAAGAACTCCCTCACCAATTAAAAAAAAGGGATAGGTTGATTGGGCTGACTGCTTGGTTCCCATGTCCAGGATATATTATTATTTCTGAATGTGTTTTTATTCTCAAGTACATGTATACTGCAGAATGTAATAAAAGAGTGACTGCGTGTGGTGTGGTATAAAATGACAGCCTGGTGATGTGTGAAATGACAGTATTTTCACGGTATCAGGTTTTTTGACTATACTGAAGTTGTTCACTTTCAGAGGAGCTTCAAAATAGCTTAAGTTTTAATACTGACAGGCCATAAGATATCATATCATAGGTTCTTGACATGCTCTTACGTTTCTCCTCCTTATAAAAAATTTACAGCCTAGCCAGGTTCTTATGCAGAACATGAAAATGAGGCTGCAGAGGCCTTGTGAGTAGTCAGACATTGCAAACGAAAGAGCCCAAAATCAGGCTTTGGCCTGATAACTGGTATTCCTGAACCTGGGTCTGAGGTTACCAGCCCTAAGGGCATTTTACAAATCCACAAATGATCACTTCAAACTGTTGTAATGGAGCACTACTGATGCACGAAAACTGTGAAATCTGTCAGCCCATTAGTGACACCTGTCACAGTGTTAAAGTAGGTCAGAACCCAAATGTGTGAAAGCGTCATCCCTGATGAACAAGTACAAACAGCAAAACCACAAGAACAGACGGATGTTCTGTAAGCCGTAGCCACAGATCAATCAAATTGTCTGGAAACAATGTGATGGATGAAGCCATGAAATTGATCTGATATATCTTCTCCATAATCTCCTAGCAATCCATAAAATACACACCTTCTAACCTAAAGGGCATACAGTGACAGTTTCAGAAACTCAGAATCTCAAATCAACTCCAAAAGCTAATGAAAAATAAACAACCTATAAAAGGCAAATCTTTCTTCCATATCTTGATGACTGCTGCATTGCTGCATTAACATTTGCGTATAGCGTCAAGGCAAGGATAGCATTTGTGATAATTTATGAAGCAAGCACAAGAGAAGGGGAGTGAATGAAATAAGAGTTCACTGAGCAGCTGCCCCTGCAAATCAAAATATGGCATGTGCTTTTTTAAGGGAAGATGTGGTAAGTAAACAAGTTTGCATTTGATCAGTTTTGGGAAGCACGAAGTGGAGATAAATCCGTGGGGAAAATATCAGGGTGCCATGTGAGCTGAACATATCTGGGACATCTGTCACTTTAGAAGTAAAGCGCAATGCAAAATCCAGCAATTCAGAAATACAAATTTAAGAAATTGAAGTTGTGATGTCCCAGGAAAAAAACAACAACAAATAACAGGGTTCCTTTAAATAAGGCAGCAAAGCAGATGTTGTGGCCAGTGACATGATAAAGCACTGAATCTTGTTGATAAATTGTTCACGCTTGGGTATGGCAGAGGGATCAATAGCACTACCTTGGTTCCATTAGCTAAGAGCTGCTATTGTACTTTCAATCTCTGCCCTTGCATGTTTTCGGGGGGGGGGGTTGTGCAGCAAATGTTTAGTTTGCAAAGGTACTGGGGTTTTTCTCTTGGTAGTAAAGTGAGGTGGATCTTGATCCCTTTCATGATGACACCGATACTAACTAACATGGGTGGCAATGGCAGATTTGTCGTCAATTGGAGTTAGATTGAAGTGCTCAAGTGTGGTGGCACTTTGGTTTCTGTATATCAGTACATTGACAAGTCCTATCTCGCGTTAAGTCTTGAGCAGGGCTAACTTTAAAATCATGGTGGAATCTCAAAGAAGAATCTCAGTCTTATGAGTGTTCGTGTTGAGTGTTGATGAGTTTAAATGTTGGAGTCTATGAAGTTTGATCATCAATAAAGTCCATCTCTCAAGATACAAGACTAGCTCTCAATTTCAAGCCTGAGATTCAACTGTGAATACGAGTCTAAATGTTGAGTCTGAGTCTGCCAATTAGTCTTACTTTCAAGTCTCACTTTTAAAATTGAGGTGTCACTTAGTCAGAGTCACCAACATAAAAAAATAATGCAAACTGAACTATAAACTACATGTAGGCAAAAAATCTATAGTTTCCACATGTCTGTGATAGCCTCAAGAAGCAATTAAAAAAGCAAAAGGTATTCTGTCAGTTGGATTATTCATATTGATTACATCTCCACACAAACGATAGCTAGCAAGTTTAAATGTAACTCTTGCTTATATTTATCTATTTTTTACCTTGCACATTTTGATAGCGTTATAAATGATTTTTACATCTCGTGAAGAAAAGTAGAATAACAGATTGAAATTTGCCACCGAGCCTTCAGCTGTGACATGAAACCATTTGTCTAATGTCTAATTCTAGGATATTCAGTGACCAGACAGGTCCCTATGAGACCTGCTGTTCATGCTACACAACAGCCCTGCCAAAGCTGGCTCGAATGGATCCCGCGTACTGACACGCCAACATGTCACAAAAGTCTGGCCGGCCCCTGCCGGCAGGGCCGGTGGGGGTGAGTGGTTGAGGAGAAGGACTGGCTCAGGGTGCTTTGCGAGCCTCATCAATGCTGCATTAAGAAGCAACCTGCAAGCTAGACGTAGTCACACTGTGAATACTAACAACAGGACTGCACGCTTGTGTCTCTTTACATGTGACACAAAATCCATCCCGAGCTCTAATGGATCCTTCCACCTGTCCGAGTAAACAATGTATCTCAAATTCAAACCAGTGCAAGGGCATGTAAGAACGCTAGACATACTTCTTTCATTTCCACATGTATGCCTGAACAGAGAGCAGCGCTCTGCTTTTAACTTGCAATTTCTGACATGCTTGGATAGTGGCAAAACAGCTTGAGTGTTTGAAATTAGATACGGAGGTACATTAATATATTCCTATTCGTTCACTAAAGGATAGTTCTCAACTGGTTTATTAAACTTTTAGTGCATTGGCAATGTGATGGAAATTGTTTGACTTGACACCTTTGTGTCAAGCTAAACTACATACACTTTAATGAATGTATTTCAGCATCTGTATGGCAGCTGTGAATTTACACAAACAACAAGGCAGCTGCAGTGCCTGCAGTTTCGTGATCAATTTTTTTATACATTTTGTAGCTGCACAGTTAAAGGATCGCATGTGCACGACATTAAGTCAACATGCTCTTTCTAGGGGGAAAAAAAAGACTGCATATTCCTGTAGTCATCGAGCATCTCAGGTATTAAACATGTTGCATCAACTTTTGAAAAAAAAAAAACCTTTGCGGGAGGAATGACAAAATACACAATGCAAACAGCTGGAGTGATCGTTCCCATATTTAACTAAATAACAATGCAGGCATGTGCAGCAATGGCAGATACTGCTGCAGGGTTATGGCCCAAAAATCATTCCATACATATTTTAACAACCTGAGTCAGATATTCAATGTAACAAACAGAAAAGACCATTTACACTGTAGGCTTTTCATCGCGTGCACATTCTGTAACCTGGCTTGATGAGCACGTGCACCTCAGGGTCAACCGTATCATGAATAAGCACATTTCCTGAAAAAGAAATTTTTGATGCAGAAAAGTTCTAAATTTTTTCAGAGCAAGAGTGCTGCAAGTCCCACAGCTACTTGATGTAGGTCATTTGTGCTAAGTATTTTTTCCCCTCTGTGTGACACTACTAATATTCATTCGATATGAATCCATATTGAATATTTGACCTCCTTCCCAGAGCACCTTCCCTCATCCAGAACAACTGCACATGGAATAAATAGGTCTTTTGTTTACTGCTCATGAGATCATCCAAGAAAAACTGCCCAACTGTCAGTGTTTCATGTGGCAAGTATAGGGCTAAACAGCAAATGTGCAAAACTTCCAATTAATCTTTGGATTTTTGCCCTGCCCGACGTGTACTTTAACACTGCATGTTCTACATTACTATATCGGAATCTTCATTCAGAAAAGAAGATCAGATGTGACATGCCTCGACACAAAAATAAGTGAGGTTGAGTTTATGAAGGGAGGTAACTTGTTCTTCAGGCTTCCGCTCAGGTTAGTTTCTCCTACACCCAACCACAAAAACCAAGTCTTAGGACATTACAGTAAATTAAAAAAAAAGAAGTCAAAAGTGTGAACCAGACGTGAACAGAATTAAAGCAGAGAAGTGCGAGACACAGGGAGGTAAAAACTAGCAGACTGGCAACAACCAGATGGTTGAGAGTCTGACAAGAGCCCTCCAACCCT